CTCTAGCCTGGGCAACAGAGTGAAACTCTGTCTGGAAAAACAAAACAAAACACTATAAATGATCTAAAAATCTTTCAGTAAGTATAAGTCAAATGGAACGTGGTGATATATAAGTAGAATTTGGGGAGACCGTGAAAATGATGATGTGAACTAACTACACGGGGGAGGTGTCTAATCCATTGAGAAATGAAAAAATGCAAATCATACACGAAAATGTAGAGTGTGATACCTATTTTTGTATTATAGCATCTATACATAGTTTTAAAAGACAAAACACTGATATATACAAAGAGAATGGAGAACCCCCCCAACACACACACACACACACACACACACACACTCTTCCCCTAACTGTCTATTCATGCCAACTCTGAGTAAGTACTGTGTGTGGGGGCTGTATTTCTGGAGAATATGCAAGATTCAAACCCACATTATCTTCCATTAATTTCCCCTTAGGAATAGAGTAAAGGATATTTTTGAAAAACATATCTCATGTTTTTATTTAATTGCTGTTTTTGTTTGACTTTCCATGGGGATTTCCGAATGGTCTCTCCTCAATCAACTCCACCACACATGGTGGTGGTTATTTAGTCTCCACTCATAACACGGTGCAATATCTCAGTTCTTCCAACTAGTGGCGACATCCCCACTAAGTTCAGGCTTGGGTGACCCTTCCGTGGAAAGTAAAGAGGTTTTAACTGTAATAGTAGTGACAGTGTAAGTGGAGCAAATGTCCTAAAGCATAAATAACACTGTGGTTTGTTCATAGAAAATTGACCAAAAACTTATTTTATACACTAAAGTGACATCACCATGTGACAGAATCACATATCACTATACATGATCGCATCAATGAACTTTTGTACTCTATTAGAATCCATTGGTCTTTCTTGGATGGATACTTTGAATAGATCTTTCATACAAGCATGATTTTGTAACATCATGCGGTCATCTGAAAAATACTGGTTCACTGAGTCATGCAGAGCTTCTAAATGTTGAAACATTTTATCACACAGTATCGAACAACCCACATTATCATCACCACTGGTCTCACCCCTGTATTGGGAAACAGATACACGCTTTTGCCAAAATTCTATTTTATGTGATATCTCTTTTTACTATTGAGCAATAAATATGATCAGTTGTTTTCCTGGAAGTGACAGCTCCCTTCATGCATTTTGGAGAAAATGGCTGCCAGATATACAGTCAACATAGCCATTGTTTGACTATCATTCATTCTTTTAAGCAGAAATAGCTCCATAAGAAAAGCAGCTAGTTTTAGCTCATGACTCAAACAGCTGCACTGGGGCTTTTTCTGGAGATGATCCTCATGCTTCTGTGCAGAGCACAAGTAGTTTCTATGTACTTTCTGTTTCATCAGACAGAATGTTAAAAAGACACACACTCAAAAGTAAAGACCTAGTACAATTAATCATTTCTACTGTTTCCTCAAGGTCATTCTTTCCTTTTCTTTTTAGACAGTCTCAATCTGTCGCCCTGGGTAGAGGGCTGTGGCATCACAGCTCCAACCTCAAACTCTTGCACTCAAGCAATTCTCTTGCCTCAGCCTCCCAAGTAGCTGGGACTACAGGCACCCATCACAATGCCCGGCTATTTTTGTTGTTGTTGTTGTCATTGCTATTTAGCAGGCCGGGGATGGGTTCGAACCTGCCAGCCCCTGTGTATGTGGCTGGCGCCCTAACCACTGAGCTATGGGTGCCGGGCTCATTTATTTTTATTTATTTATTTGAGACAGAGTCTCACTATGTCACCCTCAGTAGAGTGCTATAGCGTCATAGCTCACAGCAACCTCAAACTCTTGGGCTTAAGAGATTCTCTTGCCTCAGCCTCCCAAGTAGCTGGGGTTACAGGTGCCTGTAGCAATGCCCGGCTATTTTTTTGTTATTGTTGTCATTGTTGGTTAGCAGCCCTGGCCAGGTTCGAACCCACCAGCCCCAGTGCACGTGGCTGGCGCCCTAACCGCTGAGCTATGGGCACCGAGCCCCCATATTACCTTTAATTCTCATGTCTCCTTAGGCTTTTGTTGGCTGTGACAGTTCCGCACACTTTATTTTTGGAACCTTGACAATTTTAAGGAGGGTTGGGCAGGCATTTTGTAGGATGCTCTTCTACTAAAATATTTTTCTCCTGGTTAGACTGGGGTCGTGGGGTCTGGGGAGGAAGACCCTAGAATAAAGTGCCATTTTCATCACATCATATCAGGCTACTGCATTAATTTCCTAGGGCTATCGTAACAAAGTGCCAACAATTTCCACCCTTGACAGTGAAAAATCTGGCTCTACCATTTACCATCTATTGACGTTTACTAAATTATTCAATTCCCATGTGCATGCACAGGTATGGCAGAATACAGACGAGTATAATACTGACATGCAGTTCCTTTTGTATTTCCTCTTATAAACTCCATTTGTTTCCAAAATTATGTTAGGTCAGCCTCTTTTCCCCCACCCTCTTCAGTGAGCTGATTAGACAGTTAGACTGTCTTATTGCAGTCTGCATTCTTTCCTGGGATATCCTAACTGCAGCCTGAAACTCCTGGGTTCAAGTGATCCTCCTACCTCGGCTTCCCAAGTAGCTGGAACAACAGGTACCTGCAGCTAATTTTTCTGTTTTTAGTGGAGGGGTCTCACTCTTGCTCAGTTTGGTTTCAAACACCTAACCTCAAGAAATCCTCCCACCTTGGCCTCCCAGAGTGCTAGGATTATAGTTATTAGCCACTACACCTGGCTTCTTTGCCCATTTTATTTTATTTATTTATTTATTTTTGAGACAGAGTCTCACTATGTTGCCCTTGGTAGAGTGCTGTGATGTCATAGCTCACAGCAATCTCTAACTCCTGGGCTTAAGCAATTCTCTTGCCTCAGCCTCCCAAGTAGCTGGGACTACAGGTGCCCGCTACAATGCCCAGCTATTTTTCTGTAGCAGTTGTCATTGTTGCTTAGCTGGCTTGGACTGTGTTCGAATGAGCCAGTCTTGGTATATGTGGCTGGTGCCATAACCAATGTGCTATGGGTGCCAAGCCATTCTTTGTCCATTTTAAAATTAGGTTTTTTTTCTTATTGTTGAGTTTTAAGGACATCTAGATTTTGGTTTCTAAATACCATTTTTGACTAAAAAAAAACAAAACACGACTAGAAGCTGGTTGTGGTGGCTCACGCCTGTAATCCTAGCACTCTGGGAGGCCAAGGCCAGTAGATTGTTGGATCTCTGGAGTTTTAGATCAGCTTGAGCAAGAGAAAGACCCCATCTCTAAAAAAATAGCTGGGTGTTGTGGCAGGGGCTATAGTCCCAGCTACTTGGAAGGCTGAGACAGAGAATTACTTGAGCCCAAAAGTTTGAGGTTACTGTGAACTATAATACCATGGCACTCCACTGGGGGTGACAGAGTGAAACTGTCTCCAAAAAAACAAACCAAAACAAAACAAAAGAAACCAAGACTACTTGGAAAAGTAGTTGATCGTAAGTCTGGTGCAAGGAAAAGACAAGATGAGCCTGGAGCATCTTGTTGTGATAGGAAGTAAGGAAGTCCTCAAAAAAAGGTGAAGGGAGGCCTGGCAGGGTGGCTGACTCCCGTAATCCCAGCACTCTGGGAGGCTGAGGCAGGTAGATTACTTGAGCTCAGGAGTTTGAGACCAGCCTGGGGAAAAGCAAGACCCAGTCTCTACTAGAAAAACTAGCCTGGCATCATAGGGGATACCTATACTCCCACCTATTTGGGAGGCTGAGACAAGAGGATCACTTGAACCCAGGAGTTTGAGGTTGCTGTGAGCTACAATGCCACAGCACTCTAACCAGGGCAACAGAGTGAGATTTTGCCTCAAAACAAACAAATAAACAAAAAACAGAAAATAAAAGAACGAAAACTACCCTCCAACATGTGATGACATATCCTTTTCTCTCTGTACTACCACACAAAACCATCCCCATGCCACTTTCTCTCTGGGGGACACTTCTTTAGAGAATATTCTCAGCGCCTCTCCTTACTTCCTGCAAGTGATTAAACTACTGATCAAGCCAGACCTGGATTTTTGGAGAAAGTCATTTGTTACTCTTCTTGCCGGGCTAGCAAACTCCAATCTTTCCAGTAACAGAAGTAGGAACTCATTCACATGTGGCTAGGGTGAAGAACCCGACTAGAATAAGATAGGAGTTTATATTCGCGACTTGCCTGAGCAGGAAAGTGAAGCTAGGGACAGCTGTGTCTCAGTAATGTTACCTACATGCCTCTTCACAATTGCTGTGGCGGAAAAAATCGAGCTGGGAATTCGCTTCAACAACAGCCAAATCACTCCAGCATGGTCCTGGGTTCCGCCAGGGGAGGATGCAGATGAAAGAGATGTGAAGTCTTTTCTTTCACCTACCTGGTGAGCTGCTGTGCATCCTCAGTTCTCCTCTTCCAGGCAGTCTTCCTGGCTTGCCGGTTGCCTTCCCCTGTTGCACCCCAAACGGCCTCCCTGGGTTCCCAACAGCTTCCCTGCTGGCAGCACACTCTAAGTGTGACAGTGGTGCTGAGACTGTAGGGCCAGGAGGAATTGGCCAGGTGAAGAGTCTGGCAACGCGCCAGGTGGAGGCACAGCGTGTACTCTGGCCCAGAGCCCGCATGGAACTCAAGAGTACACAGGGACTGGAAGGGAAGCTGGAGCTTGGAGGTCAAAGAGGAGAGGTTGGAAGAAAGTGGATAGACAGGTCAGCAGGAGCCAGCAGGACTTTTAGGACCTCCCCAAAGAGTTGGTTTGAAGGGCCGCGGGAAGCAGCTGCAGGATTTAAAGCCACAGAGTGGCCGCTGTCCCTGTTTCTCTGGCTGGCTGGTAAGCCGCACTTCTTTAGAAATACTGCCCGTGGCCCCACAGCCTGAACGCTAAGTCTGCGGGAACCACCTTAAGTCAGAGCGCCACCTTAAGCAGGCCCCGCCTCTGGCGTGGCCAATGGGTGGGCAGCACTACTGGCTTTCCGTCCAACTGCCTTGGTACCCACAGCTTTCTGGCTGTCCAGCCATGGCCCGCTTGCTCCGGGCTGCGACCTGGGGGCTGTTCCCTTGGAGGGACTACTGCTCTAGGGCGACGCAGGTAGGAGGACCCCGGGAAGGGAGGGAGGCCTGATCCCAAGTTTCCCAAGCTCTGCGATGCGCCTGCACCGTGCGACCTGACCTTTGGCAGGGGATCCCTGGGCTCACCCCGTCTCAAGTGTGGGGTGAGATGGGCCGAAGCGTCCCCGCTGCCACAAGTGGGGCTGGGGATTCGATGCCAGGTTTGTGCGTCCCAGGGCCCGCCGCAGGGCTCAGAACTATAAGTAGTGTTTGAAAGAATGCCTGGGGGGCATGGACCTGGTTCTCTGCGGCTCTCCCTTGACTTGTTGGCCTCCTTTGCCCGTCTGTGAAATGGGAAGAAATCTCCAAAAGGGCTCCAAGAGCCCTTGGAGTCCCCATCAAAGGTAGGGTGAGGTGGGGCTATGAAAGCTTTTCATCCCTATCATTCCCGCATCAAACTCAGAGTCCCCAGTGCTTGGGCAGCGCTTGGTGGCGGAATATGAGTGACTTTTTCTTTTCTTTCCTTTCCCCCTTTCTTTCTTTGTCTTTCTTTCCCTCCCTTGCTCCCTCCCTTACTTCCCTCCCTCCCTCCCTCTTTCCTCCCTTCCTTCTTTCTTTCCCTTCTTTCCTTTCCTTTTTTTTCTTTTAGACAGAGCCTCACTTTGTTGCCCTCAGTAAAGTGCCATGGTGTCATAGATCACAGCAACCTCAAACTCTTGGGCTCAAGTGATCCTCTTGCCTCAGCCTCCTGAGTAGCTGGAACTACAGGCACCTGCCACAATGCCCAGCTATTTTTTTTTTTTTTTTCCAGAGATGGGTCTCACACTTGCTCAGGCTGGTTTGAACCTGTGAGCTCAGGCAATCCACCAGCCTCAGCCTCCCAGAGTGCTAGGGTTATAGGCGTGAGCCACGGCACCCAGCACTCCCCGCCCCCTCCCCCCCCCCACTTTTAAGACAGTCTCACTCTATTGCCTGGACTAGAGCCCATGGCCTCAGCAACCTCAAACTCCTGTGCTCCAGTGATTCTTTTGCATCAGCCTCCCAAGTAGCTAGGACTACAGGCCTAGGCCACCATACTGGACTAATTTTTCTATTTCAGGGTCTTACTCTTGCTCAGGCTGGTCTTGAACTTCTGACCTCAAACCATCCTCCTGCCTTGGCTTCCCAGAGTACTAAGATTATATGAGCTACACACCCAGCCTTACACTTTAGTGACCTTTTCAATTCCCTAAGGCAGGGCTGGCTACGGAATGTCCTACTAGCATTCTTTTTGAAGAGTGAATCTAGGTGGGTGGTGGCTTATGCCTGTAATCTTAGCACTCTGAAAGGCTGAGGCGGGTGTACTGCTTGAGCTCAGGAGTTCAAGACCAGCCTGAGCAAGAGTGAGATCCCATCTCTACTAAAAATAGAAAAACTAGCCAGTGGTAGTGGTGCCTATAGCTACTTGGGGGTGAGGCAAGAGGGTTGCTGTGAGCTATGATGGTGCTCTGGCACTCTACGGAGGTTGACAAAATGAGAGTCTGTCTCCAAAAAAAAAACAATAGAAAAGTGAATCTGGATTTTATTTTTGTTTGGTGGTAGTTTTTCTGAAGGGAAATTTTGACCCCAATGGTTCTATTTGGAAAAGGGCTTACTGGCTGAGCAGGCCCCTAGGAAGGGTGTCAGTTGAGGCAGCTGTGACTGGCAAGTGTCCCTGGCAATTGTTTATCCCCTGCAGGCTGAAGTCAGCAAGGACTTTGTGGAGGCCCTGAAGGCAGTGGTGGGGACTCCCCACGTGTCTACTGCCTCTGTGGTCCGAGCACAGCATGGGCAGGATGAGTCGAAGCACAGGTATGGAGGGGCTTGTAGGTTTCTTTCCCTGCCAGAAACCCTGGCTGTGAGAGAGGGTCCTGGGTTATCTTCTTCCCACCCACCTGTTTTGGGGTGCTCTGGCATTCTCCTTCCAGAGGGTGTTCTCTGCCCTTTGCTTACCATGTAGCCTCAGGCCTGTGATACCCCCAGCTTCCTTAAAAGGAGGGCAGGGGGCGGCACCTATGTGCCGCCGGCCCCATATACTGAGGGTGGTGAGTTCAAACCCAACCCCGGCCAAACTGCAAAAAAAAATAGCTGGGTGTTGTGGCGGGCAACTGTAGTCCCAGCTACTCAGGAGGCTGAGGCAAGAGAATCCAACTCCTAAGCCCAGGAGTTGGAGGTTGCTGTGAGCTGTGATGCCATAGCACTCTACTCAGGGTGATAAAGTGAGACTCTGTCTCTAAAAAAAAAATTAAAAAAAAAGGAGGGCAGGGCCAGAGGGCACCCCACCCCGTAAATCACTTGAGGTTCTGATTCTAGGTGCCGCCCTCCAGATGCCGTGGTATGGCCGCAGAATGTGGACCAGGTCAGCCAAGTGGCAGCCTTGTGCTATAGCCAAGGTGTGCCCATCATCCCATTTGGCACAGGCACTGGGCTTGAGGGTGGCGTCTGTGCTGTGCAGGTAAGGTGGGTGTTCCCCTCCATCCCTGGGGCTGGTCTCACCACACTTGGTACACTTGTGGCCACCTCCTTTACCAGACACAGCTGTTGGCCAGGTCCAGCCCTTGAGCTACCTGCCATCCAGGCTTTGGTCTGGCTGCCGGGAGGTCAGCTTAGGGTGGGATCCAGGGCTTGTGGCCTGGTCAGAGACCTAGGTCAGTAGCCTTCTTGGCTCCTTTTCCACCAGGGTGGCATCTGCGTTAATCTGACCCATATGGACCGAATCCTGGAGCTGAAGCCAGAAGACTTCTGTGTGGTGGTACAGCCTGGAGTCACTCGCAAAACTCTTAATACCTACCTTCGGGACAGTGGCCTCTGGTTTCCTGTGGGTAGGCCTGGGTTTTGTGGACCTCTTCTGGGCCCTGAGGACCAATGGTGGCAGGGCTGTTTCTGGGGTTCAGGGGCCAGCTGAAGGTAAAGGCTCCCCCCACCCTCCTACAGCCTGTCTCCTGCACTCTGCCCTCCAGACCCTGGTGCAGATGCCTCTCTCTGTGGCATGGCAGCCACTGGGGCCTCGGGCACCAACGCAGTACGCTATGGCACCATGCGGGAAAATGTGCTCAACCTGGAGGTGGTGCTGCCTGACGGGCGACTGCTTCACACGGCAGGCCAAGGCCGCTATTTCCGGTGAGTGGCCCCCTGCCACTTCTTGTAGCCCTGAGCTCTGATGGGGTGGCCTTCCCAGTAGAGAGGAGGCTGGCTGTGGCTGTGGAGGACATCTCTTCCTCTAGCTGCACAGGCTGGACCTCTGAGGGCCTGGAAGCCCTGTCACATGGGTCAACGGTGATGGTACTGGAGTTTGCTCTCCGGGTCTGAGGCTGATTTGGCTTGTGGAGTAGAAAACACTGGGCTGGGGAACATCTGTCTTGCTGGCCACTTGGTGCATGAGGACAGTGTTCTGGGTTCCTGCTCTAGCCTTCTGGCCACAGGTCCCACATCATGTGATCTGGCCACTGACTTACCTTGTGTTCCCGGGGACCAGGAAAAGTGCGGCCGGCTACAACCTCACGGGGCTCTTTGTGGGCTCCGAGGGGACACTGGGCCTCATCACAGCCACCACCCTACGCCTGCACCCTCTCCCTGAGGTCACGATGGCTGCTACCTGCGCATTCCCCACTGTCCAGGCTGCTGTGGACACCACCGTACACATCCTCCAGGCTGCAGTGCCCGTGGCCCGAATTGGTGAGTGGGGACCAGGGCAGTTGGACGGGCTCCCTGGAAGAGGCCCCCCTTGAATGGCCAGGCCTCACCTGGCCTGCCCTCTCCCTGGTCCCAGAGTTCCTGGATGAAGTTACAATGGATGCCTGCAACAGATACAGCAAACTGAACTGCTCCGTGGCGCCCACACTCTTCCTCGAGTTCCATGGCTCTGGGCAGGCGCTGGCAGAGCAGGTGCAGCAGGCAGGTATGCTGGGATGTTGGGGGCCCTGACTAACCCAGGGTGGGGCCAGTACCAACCCTCCTTCCCCTACTGCAGAGGAGATAGCTCAACACAACGGAGCCTCCCACTTCTCCTGGGCCAAAGAGGCTGAGGAGCGCAGCCAGCTCTGGGCAGCGCGGCACAATGCCTGGTATGCTATCCTGGCCCTGCAGCCAGGCTGCAAGGTGAGCTGGGGCTGGGGTGGAGGTGGAACCCACAACAGCCCTGAGGCCTTTCTTCTACCCACCATTCCAAGGCACAGAGCAGCAGGTGGTGGCCCAAGGTGGCAGGGCCTAGCTGAGTAGGCTCTAGACTACAGACTTCCCCCCTCCACCCCAACCTCCTGCTCTGCCAGCCCTTTCTCAGACCTTGTCTGGAGAGAAAGCATGGTGGTCTGACAACCCTTGGGAGTCCTTCCTGTGAGCCAGGCCATGGGGATAGTGCAGTGTGTTTAGGAGTTGTGAACAAGGTTTCCTGGAGGAGACAATGGAGAGGAAGGTATTAGCACAACTTGGAAGGGGAGTACAGGCTCCAGGGAGCTGGGCAGAGGCCACCCGTGGGGAGCTGGTTGAGAGTGGTGAAAATCTCTGTGGGAGGACCTGGTGCATACATCTTGTTGGGCAGAGATGGGGGAATGAGGCTTAGAGAAGAGCAGGACAATCCTTATGTGAGGCCAAGAGCTGAAGCCCAGTCCTCCATCCCTGGTCTCAGCCCTGGCCACAGCAACCCCTTACCTCCAGGTGGGCAGGGGCTGAGGGGGAGGACCTCACAGGCCTGCCCTCTGATTCAGGGCTATTCCACCGACGTGTGCGTGCCCATCTCTCGGCTGCCAGAGATCATGGTGCAGACCAAGGAGGACTTGAAGGCCTCAGGACTCACAGGTGTTCCTTGTTGGAGTGAGGGGTGGTGTTGGAGCTGACCAGAGCCTGGGCCAGGCAGAGGGATGGGAGTCTGGGCTCCAAGTAACAGTTCTGTCTTCTGAGCCCCCAGGAGCCATTGTTGGGCATGTGGGTGACGGCAACTTCCACTGCATCTTGCTGATCAACCCAGATGACTCTGAGGAGCTCCAGAGGGTTGAGGCTTTTGCAAAACAGCTGGGCAGGTAGGAGCAATGTGGATGGGGGCATAGAGCACAGGGGGAGGGGAGCCCACTGAGGCTCTTTCCTCCCTGCCCCTAGGCGGGCTCTGGCTCTGCATGGGACATGCACTGGAGAGCATGGCATTGGACTGGGCAAGCGGCAGCTGCTGCAGGAGGAGGTGGGCACCGTGGGCATAGAGACCATGAGGCAGCTGAAGGCCACGCTGGACCCCCGAGGCCTCATGAACCCAGGCAAGGTGCTGTGAGAGGCTCTGGATACTCAGAAGACCCGGACTATGGTGCCCCTCTTCTGGAACTTTCCTTTATGCCACTAGCCCTTCGAGATGCTGTGTTCACATGCCAGCTAGCTCTCTAAATCTGGGGTCCATGGCCAGAAGGCTGGAAGAGAACTCTGGGTGCTGGGCTCCTCCCTGGCCCCCCTTGCTACTCCAGGGAACCTTTCATCCAGTAAATGATCCAGGCCGGTTCTGGTAAAGCTGCCTCTTCTCTGCTCTCTTACACATCCTGTCCTGGCTGGGAGAAAGGGTGTGGGTCCACCTCAAGACTCAGATGACACCCCTCCTTTGATGCCTCCCCACTGCTGAGGGCCCAGGACCCTTCCCCCCCACCTGTGACCGGAGTGCTCCTTTCCTTATGTGGGAAAGGACGTCCACTCCCTGTTAACAGCTCTTCTCCTTGGGGCCCTCCAAACAAATCTGAAACCCACCTGCAGCTGGTGGAGATCAGCAGGCAGCCCATCCCTCCATTCCCGCTCAGAGTTCTGTCCTTTAGCCAGTGATGCCTTGTTTTGGGCCTGTCCTTTTGACTTGTTGCTGCCTAGGGAGCAAAAGTAGTGCCCACGTTTCCCAAAGAAACCCAGGTCCCTGGGTTGAAACCCTGTCTCAGCTACTCTGTGTGAGAACCTTAGGCCTGGGGACCTGCCGTGGCAGATGTCAGAATGACAGGCCCTGCAATACTGTAAACATGTTCCTCAAGCAGCCGCTGCCAGTGATTAAAAGTGGAAGTGAAACTATTCTTTGTGCTGCACCTCTCTATGGTATTGAGCTACCAGCTTTTTTGTTTTGTTTTGTTTTTGAGACAAGGTCTTGCTCTGTCACCCAGACTCAAGCAATCCTCCTGCTCAGCCTCCCTCCCAGTACCTGGACTATAGGTATAAGCCACCATGCTCGATTTTTAAATTTTTTTATACAGATGGGGCTATGTTATTCAGGCTGGTCTTGGACTCCTGAGCTCAAGTGATCCTTCCACCTTGGCCTCCCAAAGTAACTAGGATTATAGCCATGAACCACTGTGCCAGCATGTTACAAACAAATCTTTTTGCCCTCAAAGTCAAGGTCTGTCCTCCACCCTGGGGCCTGTTTGGAGACCTTGGCATGTGCTCCCTGTAAGCCCACTAGAGGGCGCCCGACATCACGAAGCTGGACACGACAGCATCTGCTGTGGGCAGCTGTGGCTCAGGACTCACCTGTCTTGGCCAGTAGCTCTCAGCTCTGGGCCACCCACTTCCCAGGGTCAGAGAGAGGACGGGCTGCCAGGGAGCTGATCTAAATCCTCCGTCCCCACCGCATGTCTGAGGAGCTGGTAGTACTGTTCTCTCTTCTCCACCCTCTGGGCCTTTGTCCCCCTTAGGAGTGGGGTTGGGTGAGGAAGGGGGGGCAGCTGCCCCTCTTAATCACCCACACCCTCCCCTGAGCCTCTCTTGTCCCCCTCCCACCCATCAGCTGTTATCAGCTGTTCAGGCAGTGCTGCCAGGCTCTGGGCAGCGGCAACCTTGCGGTGACTCCTCGGTTGGGCCTGAGATCCGTTTCTCTGTGATGTTCCTGTTCCCTGATGCCTTAGGAGCACTGACTGTGCAAAGGATGGTTTGGTGGCATGTTTCATGGGCCCTCCCTAAACCACTCCAGCACATGTGCTTGTCACAGAGACACTGCTACCTAGCCCTTCCCCTTGCAGACAGAACATCTGCTGACCCCACCCCTCCCCCCACTCTAGGTGTGGGAGGGCTCCCCCTCCACACACACACACTGGGCAGAACACTTCTCTGATGGGTCCTCCAGTGCCTGGCAACTAGTAGGTGCTCAGCAAACGACCATCTCCCCACAAATTTTTATTAAGAAAAATTCCAAACATACAGAAAAGTTAAAAGAACAAGTACACCGTTTACTGAAAGACCAGCCATCGCAGATTCAACAATGAACATTTTTTACCTTACTTGCTTTGTGTGTTTTTAGGGAGAACCACTTGGAATTAAATGACACATTTCTTGAAGCCATTTACCTACATAATTCTGCACCTATCTCCTAAGGACATTCTCCTATAAGCCTCGACACCATCACATGGCAATTAGATGAGTGGTTTCGATGAGGGGCTCCTATAACCTCAGAGAACCCATGGGCCTTCAGCAGAGTTGGTAGAACCCAGGCCTCGCTCCTTTCAGGGGCAACACAAGGTTATGGGGAGCTGTGTGGATGGCGGATGACAAACCCAGTGCCACCTGGGAAGCCCAGACACCCCAGCCTCACCCTTGCATTGGGAACTGGCAAGTTGGGTCTCAAGTCAGGAGACAGGGCAGCCAGCAGAGGGCTGCAGCTTGCAGGGTGGTAGGAGAGTCCCTGGGGGCTGAACTGAAACAGCCCGGCAGGGGCCACAGTCCTGCCCCACCCAGCCTGCCACTCTGCTCATCCCTGGCACTGCCCAAGCATAGAGCTCAAGCTGCCAGGGTGGGCCCACATGGCCTCCATGTCCAGGTCCAGGGGTCAGGCAAGGAGATCTCCTCTGAGCTGGGCCCTGCCTTGCCAGCTTTGCTGGTGGAATTAAATATAGAACAGGGAGACACAGTTGCCAGGCAGGAGCAGGAGGTGCTGTGAATAGAACAGTGCCCTTTGTGGTGACAAAATCATGAGGGAGCCTGCTGTGCGTGTGCCAAGCGCCTGCAGGCAGATTCCCCGACCCCCACCGTGACCTCTGAGCTGTGAGATTTTGTCCCCATTTCACGTGTGAGAAATACAAAGTTCAGATGAATGAAGTTGTTTCCCCCAGATCATTCTGCCAAGAAGCAGAAGAGCCTGAGTGCAGACAGTCTGGAGCCCACTTCCTGGCTGCCAACTCTCACAGCAGCTTGGGGGTGCTGCCCCAGGGGGGTCCCACGTTGAGGCCCCGGCTCAGAAGCAACTCTTCTTTAGTTTCCTCTGAACAAGCCAAGTGTGCCCACCTGCCTTGGCTCACGCTTGCCCACCGCCTGCAATGAATGCCCTCGCATGGAAGCATCTGTGGAAAGGCGACTGCAGAGCCGAGGGATGGTCCAGACCCCTGGGCTTAGCGGGGTTGGAGCCTGAGAAAGGTCAAATTGGAGAAGGTGTGGAGATGTCTCCCTCCAGAGCGTTCCTTGGCGACTCTGCAAGAGGCTCTGGGAGCCTGTCTGGCACACAGACGGAAGCCAGGCGTGCGCTGCTGCTCCCTGCCCCGAGCTTCCCGCCCAGCCTGCTGTTTGCCAACTTCTCTGTGAGCCTGAGCGGTTGGTTCTGGTTCAAGGCCTCGGAGCTGGCTCAGCCCCAGACCAGGGCCTCTTCCTGGGCCTCAATGAAGCATGCCCATGAGTCAGCACTGAGCTGCAAGCTGAGCAACAGGAAGGCGGGCGTGGGGGGAGCAGAGGCTACGAGGCAGGGGGCTGGGCCAGTACCTGGAGGAACCCACATCCTTGCAGCCTCCGGTGGCTGCAAGATCTTTCCTCCTGCAGCTCTTTCCGGAACAGTTCAGTCATGGCCACTCCACAGATGATGGCAGACTGGTTCCATGAATCTTGAGAGGGTCAGGAAGCTTGTAGGATGCCTGACCTGTCACCTTCCCTCCACCCAAGAACGACCTTCTGAAAACCACTTTACACACCCGTAGCCCGGAGTAGTAGCCGGAAGGAATGCTAAGGAGGTAGGTGAGGGAGCTGGTGGCAGGCCCTTGCCCCCATTTCTTGATTGTATAACAGTACTTCATTAAAATAAAATCACACAGTGCATCTTTTATTAGACATTATTTTAATACCATATCAAAACACCTTGACTAATGAAGAAAGCTTTTCTCCCAAACTTTGAACATTTTTTAAACATTTTATAAGTTTTTTTTGTATTTTAGTATATAAATACAGAAACCTATCTTGCATGGGCTGATGCCACGTGTGAACATCAATGGCTAAAATGTTCTCAAACAGAGTGCCTGAAAACAGGGGTCGCTGTACATACTTCTTAGTCTTTTTAAGTTTTCTGGGGGGAAAAAAAAAAAATCCACAATGGCCTAAGAATAACGTTCAGGCATTTTTGCAGGACACTTGTGATTGTTAGATCCTCTGAACTGTCTAGAACCGGGAAGAAGTAAGGGAAAAGAAATGGGGATCTGAGGTGGGAAGAAAGTTTTCGAGGGGTTGTTCTTTTGGCAATGAAGTCAAGATATCAGGATCCCAAGGGGAGAAAAGTGCAAAACCAAGCCAGGAAAATGGAAAAAAAAAAAAAAAAAAAAAAAAAAAAACCAAAAAAAACCCCAAGGTAGAGAGGTTGGTGGTGGAGAGGGCTGGTTGGGGCACCGGGCAAAAGAAGAGACCTTATGTGCTCGCCAGCACCAGAATGTGGGCGGTGAGGACCGGCACGTCCGTTTCTGTCACTGAGTGTGTTACAGCTGGGCAGCAAACAGCAATCTGTAAACATCACGAGGGAAAACACCAGTCGACACTAGACTTTTTTTTTTTTTTTTTTTTATATATAATTTTTTTTTTTTTTTTTGTAAACACTTTAAAGACAGACCCACAATGCCTTTCAAGGGTGAAAAAGAAAATGCCCTTTCCCTCCTGGGCTGAAGGGTGAGGGGAAGGATAGCAGTTGATTCATTCTTCTCTCAAACTTGCTCGCATCCAATTTGGTGTCCTCGGGGAGGAAGGGAGAACCATTTTCTGAAGTCAGTGCAGAAGGGATGCCCTGTTCCCACCGGTGTCCCAAGCTCAGCTCTGCTCCAGTGTCCGATGAGCCTCCTCTTGGGAACAGGGGCTGTCTGTCCCTGTGTGGATCGCAGTAAGTCAGTCATGCTCCTCCGGGCCAGGCTGGCTGTTGCCGTCCCTTGTCCATCCGCCGTTTGGTCTGGGCAGCGCCAAATACCAGCGGCCAAACACCAGCAGGGAGCTTGGGCCCGTGCTCCTGGGCAGCTCCACTGCCCTGCCTCACGCTCACCCTGGCTGTTTCTTCTCCCCTTGTCACCAGTTTTTGAGGTGAAGGTAAAAAGAGCAAATGTCCCTGATTTATCTGATATCATCAGGTGTTTTGGGAGTTTACTTGGAATAAATAAAATAAACCTAACAAAAGAAAAGAAAAGGAAACAAGAGAGAGAGAGAGAGAAAGAGAGAGGAGAAAAGAGGCCACAAGACTTTTGGATGTGAGACGAGGTGAAGTCAGACTTTTGGTTTTCTGGGGGTTTTATCTATGTGTTTACCAGAAGAAAAAAAAAAGCCAACCCAGACCTGGAAGGAAAAGGTAGGCTGGGGGAGAGGAGTGGATGGACAGTAGCAAAGCCAGGTGCCCTGGGAGGAGATGGGGAGGCCAAACCTCAAGTTAGCCGGGTGAAGTGCACACCTGGGAGCAGGGCACCGCTGTGGAGTCAGCGCCCTGTGCTATGGGGCAGAGGGGACGAGTCTGGCATGGAGCCCTCAGATTAATCTCGAAGTGGGGCAGGAAGAACCAATAGTAAAATGACCCCTCATGAACACTCTGCACTGGGCAACGCCTCATCCCCTCTGCTGTCCACTTGGTAAGTAGTGTCCACATGGCGACAGGGAGTGAGATTATCCCCAAGCAGAGATTCAGGGTGAGCAAGGATGAAGTGGAGCTGGTGCAAACCCAGCACTCCTCCTGCTCCTCCTCCTGCCCAAACATTCCCAGATCTTCCTGAACTTTCTTCAAGATGATTCGCTCTAGGCATCTGGAATACGTTGGTCTCTCCCTGAACTAATTCGAAGTCTCCTGAGCAAGTTTTTTGTAATCCTGCCCTTGTTAGTTTCTATCTCGTATCCTTCCCAAGAGAGGATCACTTCCGTTTCTAGATAACTATTAACTGGTAAGGTACCACCATCTTTCCCTCTGCTCCTGCTTTCTTCTCTGTGGGGTGTGTAAGGGCAGCCCCACTCCCCCAACTGCCAGCCCCCAGAGTGATGTGACCCCGAGCCTTGAGCTCGGGGTGCCCCCAACCACGGGCTCACCTTTGAGAGGAGTTGGCAAGCAAGCCCAGCAGGGTCAGTCTGCAGGGTGTTCCGGACAAGATCTGTTCACTTCAAACCAGGAGTCTATGCAGCTGGGGTGGAGGAGGCAGCAAGGGGAGATCACGTTACCCGCTGGCCAGCCTGCTCCTCCAAAAGGGGCTCTTTCAAAGGGTCAATTCCTGAGTGTGGGTTTCCTAAACCTCTCCTGAAAGGACCCCAGGGAAAAACAATCATGTCTCCGGACACCTACTTTTTGAAGCAGGGAGAAGGGAGAACACCAAAATTGATCTGGGCTCAGGGGAGGCAGTGGCAGGTGCAGGCTTGGGGGACCTGGTGCTGCAGGAAGGGGAGAGCGGCCTTGAGAGGAACCCAGGCCTTATGCTCATGGAGCCCAGGAGGAGGCAACATCACCATGAGAAGATGAGGGCAGGTGGACCAGGCAGAGCAGCCAATGTCACATGGCTTGAAGGGCACGATGGCCATGGGTCCTGAGCAAGTCCACTTCTGGGCTCTTAGCAAGTGACCTCTTAGGAGCCCCATGCTCTAGCAGATCAAAGGGAATCTAGTCCTCCTTGGGGTTGAGGGGGGGCGGAGCCAAGAAAGCAGGCCAGGGAGGAAGTTGAAGTGAGGCCTAGTCTCCAGTGTTTACAGGAAAGGACTGTCTGCATCGAAGAGGGAACAGAGATTGCCCCAAGACAGGTTCCCGATTTGTAAACCAACATCTGGGCATTTTCAAAGACAGAAACCAGACAGATAATTTGCATAATTCTTCCTCAGGGCCAAAGATTTCCTTTTCTGGTTCTGGTTAGTGCCTCCCTGGGACATTGCAAAGCTCTGTACTGGGACTGAGACCAAGAATCTCTCCCAGGCCAGCTTTGGGTCTCCTCTGCACCAGCCACATCTCGTGCTGGGCAGGGCTGTCCCCCTGTGGAGCCCTAAGAGCCAGGCTTTGAAAGGCCTGTGTGTCAGGAAGAAGCCCTGGGCTTGGGGAGTTGGAGAGCAGGTGGTGGCCACAGGAAGCACGGAGTGCCCACCTGTTTCAGGCAAGGAATTGTCTTCTTTCCAATTGGAAACAAGATCAAGGCTCAGGCTGGAGCCTGAGGACAGATCTGGGCCCAGCTACTAGTAGCATCTGTACAGGCAGTGGCTCTTCCTGCCTCCTGGGCTTCTGGGGAGGACGCATACAAGGCAAGGCACACCCTCCACATAGCCCCCCTTGCCCAGACTGACACTGACACCCCGGGTACAGAGGGGCCCCTGGAAGAAGGAAAGGCTCAGAGAAGCAGAGGGAGAACCAATCTTCCAAGGACATCCTTTGCACCTATGGGGCTCCCACCATCCTAGCCTCCAAACCAGAGCAAAGCTCTGACCCTGCATCCAGTGGTCACACCTTCCCATCAGCACACAACATCCTAGGCCTCTCCCTTGACCCCACTCAAAGCCCGAGATGGGAGAAGAGTTTGTCCTCCAGCTGAAGGCAATAAGAAGGATGGGATGGGGCAGCCCCTCATACCTTTTGTGATAGATACACAGGCAGGGCAGCCTGGCTATCGTGTCCCCCTGAAGCAGCTCCTCCAGGCAGATCACACACTCACCCGCATCTTTAGTCAGCACATCATCTGTAAAGGGGGACAGGGGAGAGTGAGAGGGGTTAGTCACCAGTGGACAGGTGGCACAAAGCAGGCCTGGGAACCAGGAACTAACTGGGATTACCTGGATGGTCCCAACCGTGCCAGGCTCTACATGAGAACGTATAAGTCCAAGAGGGACTTTGATCTAAGATCCTCACTGTGGACACAAGACATGTGCACCACACATCAACTACCCAAAGGCAAAAGGGGATTAATTCTGGAGGCGCCTGTAGCTCAGTTGGGCGCCTGAGAATGGGTGGCGGGTTCGAACCTAGCCCGGGCCTGCTAAGTAATAATGACAACTGCAACCAAAAAATAGCTGAGTATTATGGCGGGCACTTGTGGTCCCAGCTACTCTGGAGGCTGAGGCAAGAGAATCGCTTAAGCCCTAGAGTTTGAGGTTGCTGTGAACTGTGATGTGACAGCACTCTACCCAGGGCTACAGCTTGAGATTCTTTCTCAAAACAAAAAAAAGGGTAGGGATTAATTCCAAGATAGGATTACCCAAAAGCCCAGGTGATAGAAGATGAAAAAGTCTTAGAGAACAATAGACAGGAAGCAGAGACAGCATGAGGCAAGCTGTTTCCCTTAATAGACTGTCCCCGGGTATACTGATTCTCGCTTGGAAAATATGGTTAAGGGGGAGAGTGGCATGAAGCAAGAATGAGGGAAGAAACAGATACTCAGACGAGAAACTCTATAGCATTATCGATAACAGTCAAAGTAGAAACCAAATGTCTACCAGTTGGTGAATGGATAAAGAAAATATGGTATAAACACACTGGAATATTACTCAGCCAAGAAAAGGAGGTAACATTTGGTATACGCCACAATACAGATGAACCTCAAAAATACCACGCTAAGTAAAAGAAGCCAGATATAAGGGCCACTTATTGAATGAATCCACTTATATGAAATGTCCAAAGTAGACCAATCCACAGCGATAGAAAGATGATCAGAGATTGGGGCAGAGGAAAGGAGGAGTGACAGCTTAATGAGGAAGGAGTTTTCTCCCCCTCTGTTTAAAAAGTTTTATTTTATTGTGGTAAGAACATCCTCTTAAATTTTAAGTGTACAAGAATATTGTCAATGGTTGGCACTATATGATACAGATGTCTAGAACTTAGTCCTTTTGCATAACTACGGTAAAATGTTATACCCATCCATTAGCAACTTCCCTTTTTCCCCGCCCTCCAGCCCCTGGCAACCACCAGTCTTCTACGCAGTTGACTATTTTAGCTACCTCATGTAAGTGGAATCACGCCAGGGGTTTTCTTTTGGGGTGATGAAATGTTTGGAACCAGATGGAGGTGGTAGCTGCAGAACACTGTGAATGTCCTAAATGTCCTAAATGCCACTAAGTTGTTCATTTTTAAATGGTTGATTTGATGCTATATATGAATTTCATCTCAATTTTTTTTTTTTTAAGAGACAGAGTCTCACTTTCTCGCCCTCGGTAGAGCGCCATGGCATCACAGCTCACAGCAACCTCCAACTTCTGGGTTTAGGCGATTCTCTTGCCTCAGCCTCCTGAGTAGCTGGGACTACGGGCACCCGCCACAACACCCAGCTATTTTTTGTTGCAGTTTGGCTGGGGCTGGGTTTGAACCTGCCACCCTCAGTATATGGGCTCCCTCCCTTTTTTTTCAGAGACAGAGTTTTATTTTGTCGCCCTCGGTAGAATGCTGTGACGTCACAGCTCACAACAACCTCCAGTTCTTGAGCTTAGGTGATTCTCTTGCCTCAGCCTCCTGAGAAGCTGGGATTACAGGTACCCACCATAATGCCCAGCTATTTTTTTTTGTTAGAGTTTGGCTGGGGCCGGGTTTGAACCTGTCACCCTCGGTACATGGGGCCGGCGCCTACTCACTGAGTCAGAGGCACTGCCCTCATCTCAATTTAAAAAAAAGAAAGAAAAAAGATCCCCCCTTCCCAAAAAGAATTAATAGAAGGAAGCTACTGCCCACAGGGATGCCTGGCAAAGCCACGGCTGGAAACTCCTGAGCAGAACAGGGACAGAGTCAGCCCTTTATTCTCTATGACACTGTGTACTGACGACTCACAGGAAATAAGCCAGTTGCAGGATGCAAGAAGCTCACGGACTAGTAGGAGAGGCCAAACAAGAAAACCAAGAGGTATGGCATGGTAATTTCTAGGCAGTCTTATGACGCACAGGCCCAGCTATGAGGGGTACAGAAAAAGATACCTGACTGGGGTAGGGACTGTTCAGGGAACATTTTGGAGAAGGTGATGATGAGGATGGGTGAAACTGGGTGGGGAGAGAGACTCTGGGCAAAGGGACAGTCTTACACACCTGGGAACTATAGGAAGTTTGCTATGGCAGGTGCAGAGGCACTTGGGGCCAGGAGGCTGCTGAGACCAAGTCCCTAAGGGCAGGTGGGCAAACAACAGGCACCTGTCACTAAGAGGGAATCTAGGAGGACAGGCATGGGAAGGAAGTGGCAAATTCAGTTGGATGGAGAGGTGTTGACTCGGTGTGCTGATGGAGACCTCCAAGATCTGCTGAAGTCTAGATCTGGGGTGTGGAGCAGAGACATGGGTGACAGTGCACATGTGGGATAGAGACTAATGGGAAGAAAATTAGGACTGAACCTAAGGGCAGCAGAAAACAGACCCAGGTCGATGCTAACCTTTGAAGGGCAGGTGAAAGTGGTGATGAGAGCCAAAGGTTACGCAGAAGTTCTCAGAACTACAGGGGAAATACCAAGAGAGCGGGGTCATGGAAGTGAAGGAAGGAGAGCTTGCAGAAGGCAGACGCTGCTGATGACACATACTGAGAGTCTGTGAGCCTTTCCTTTGAGCTTCAGAATCTTCCCAGCTAGCCAGGGCACACAGCACTAATTGCATTTTGCTAATAAGGATATGAAGCCCAGAGAAGTCACACACCAGACTTGGCCAGAGGGCTAACAGGGGTGGTACTGTTGGGACTGGCACCCTCTGCTCATGTGACCCTCCTCACTGTTGTGTGTGTCCCCTGATTATTTTGATGGAGAGAGAAACACCGGGGGCCCACAAATTTAGGATTCTTCATGGCCCAGAAGGCCACGATGACTTAAAGCCTCTCTCACCACAAAGCCTGAGGTAAAAACACAAAATAGAACCAATTTGATAAAGTTGCAAAAGTCCCTCTTGCCGCCTGGCTACCAGGAAGGGTTATGTTGCAGGCCTTAGCTCCCTTTCAAATTCTCCTCTCCACACTGAAGAAGGAATTCCTCAGAGCACCGACTGCTGGTTCCAAAGCAGTTTCCCTTTGTCCCCCGCACCCCAAACTGGTAACTCAGCTATGAGCCCAAAGTAGTAGTTAGAATTCTCTGGGTCCCAATTAGTTTCTTGTACCTCAGTCTGTGTCCACCCCAGGAGGCACATGTGGCCACCCAGAGGGGACAGCTTGAGGGCAGGGGAGGCAGGGAGGAGACACGCAGAGGGGCTCTCTGCTTCAACAAGACCAGACTTGACTCTCCTCTTTTCTCTCTGAACATCACCAGGGAAGGGGAGAGGAGGAGGACATAAGAATGACACTTCTTGTCCTAGCGGGGGAGCTGCTAAGGGGCTCAGGCTGTACCCGGTCCTCACCACTCTACAAAGCGGTTTTATGGACAGTACAGATGTGCCTCACTAGCTGGCCTGGTCCGCAGCACCAGTGGGGAGAACTGAAATGTGCAAGCTGCCCTGCCAGCCCGGCACATGGCAGGGAGCACATTTCACTGGGACCAAGAGCCATTGGCTGCAAAAGGCCACCTGGAGGTTCCTAGGGATTGGGAGGAGTCAAAGGCTTGGCCTCTGATAGCCTGGGAAGCCAGCTGTGCCCATACGCAGCCCGGGCCCAGGGAGCAGCATTCTTCCCCAGGGTAACATATCCAGCAAGAGGTCTGAGTGGGCTGAGCAAAACTTCCTGTCCCAATCCCTGGAGCTAGAGGAATCAGCAGCCCCCAGATATCCTTGGGGTCCCCGTAGAGAATGGAAATAGCTGGAGTTGAGGCTATTGGGTCCCACAAGGCAGCCACACTCATCTGCTGCCCACAGTCAGAGGCTTCATGGCACAAAGCCAAGGACCCAGGCCCACACAAGCTGAGGTCACATTGTGACAGACTCAAAGGTCCCTTGGTACCTCCATTGCCCCAGAAGGAGCTCAACAAATGCTGGTTGATGGGAACACAGGAGTAAAGCTGAACTTTCTTCCTTCCGGGCCCTACCTTTCTCTTACTGCCGCCTCTCAATCCCCTCCCAGGCTTCCTGGTACCAGTCTGCAAAGCCAATCAATGTCACTGCCCAAAGTGGGAGTCTGCAAGTGCCTTTGGCCTGGCCAAGGGTGGTGCTAGTGCCTGTGCCTCTAACCGGACCAGGGAACCAAACCCAAATGGGAAGTGAAGCTCTCTGGAACCAAGCGGGAGACGTGACGCCTGTGACAGGCTGGGGGTGGGAGGGGACAGCATCTTCTGCTCCCTCTCTGGGATTCAGGCATAGGCTGCTGACAGCTGCTATTTGTCAAAGAAACGAAATCTTGGAGGAGGAGAAAAAAGAGCCCTCACTTTTTCTTACTAGCCATCCGTGGGCAAGGGCAGACACATCTCAGTGAGTCCTAGATCCTACAGGGGTCTCTGGACAAGCACATGCAGCTGCTAGGTGGCCACACTCCCAAGCCTGAGCTCCTGCCACCCTGCTTCCTTTCCTTAAAAGACCAGGCCATATGGCTGCCTTCCCTTGGGGCTGGAAAACACCACCCATCTCACAGGCAGCTTCACACCTCTCTCTTTTTGTGAATGTGTATGTGGGGGCACGAGGTGGGTGGAGGAACCTGTGTGCTCAGGGTGAACACCTGTCCTCCACCGGGCTAGGCTCAGACTATCCTGCAAAGAGCTCTGGCAACACATCCCCGAGGGACCCCAGCACTGCTAGTGGCATGGAGGGGGTAGGGAGGCCCAAACAGCCACAGACACATCTCTGTGCCTGGCAGGGAGGGAAGGCTG